TCCTCCAGTGTCTGAGGCTTGTTTGCAGGTTTGTTGCTGTCTGTGACGATGGCAGTTCAGTTCCTGGTAGCTTTGACCCCACAGGCCCTACCCGACTCTGACTTCAGCTTTTCNCCATCATGGGAAGATTATTGTTACTGCAGAAGTAATAATTCTGTTGCTGTTGTTACAACGAATTTTACGGTGAGAAATACGCTCTGGTCATTGACAAGGTCAGTGCTCCGTGGCCACTGAAGATCGGCCATATTTCTTCATCCTTTTCTCATCGTGAGCGGGCTGGCTGTCTGACTAGGAAGACTTTGCATGCGGTCCTACACTGAGCATTGAGCAGCCTTTCCAGGAATAGGGCCGCCAGCCAGCAGACGCGCCATGGGTAAAAGCGGTCCCCACAACGTGCGGTCCCCACGGCGTGTACCTTGTTTTCTCAGTACCGCGGCTGTCACCCAGCCTCCCGGTGACACCAGCGGGAGGAGTGGCTTTCGCTCTACTGCAATCCCGGATAACAGCTGCCTCCTTTTTCCTATTTATGAGGCTTGTACTTTTTGTTCTTCTACCAACTGTTCTTTGAATTTTACAATGCTCTCTCTAGCTGGAGAATAATAATAATAATAATAATAAAAAGCACCACTGTAATTGTTCCTTTCAAAAATCTAATTGTGGGAGCAGATTTTATAAAGTAGCATAGATGGCCATTTGCTCAGACCCTCAACTAATTGGACTCCAGAGGCCTTTACAATCTGTAAATGTTTTTTTGCCTCTCACTTAATTCTCTTAAGTGCCATGTATAATACAGACAACGGAGCTCAGTGTAGGCCACGTCTAAGACACATGCTTGTGGGCTTATCTGAAGTTTTCGTGCACTACGGGCCTGTGGTTCGCGAAGGGGAAAGAATGCAGGAGAATTCTGTAAGAAATTTCTGGCAAAATTGTGCATTTGTATAATAGAAGGTTTTTTGAAGACCGCTTTATAGCCATCTAATATTAGCTCACAGGCATTGATAGAAACGCCCATTATACTCAATCTACATAAAATGGATGCCAGCCATTGAAGCATATAGTGTTTTAAAGGCGATTTGTATGTAAAAAATTCCCACATTAACAGTAAGTGAATATTGGCCAGCAATATGTATTTCTTTTCAACTATTGTGAGCCTAGGGTTTTCATATAGACACTTTAAATCTCTTAAAAACAAAGAAAATTACATTATGGCTGAAAACTATGTCAGTAAAATATTGGACGTCTAGGCCTCTTAACAGCATTCAGTGTGCTTGGAGTTCCTAAACGGATGTGGTGAACAAATAAAACGACACTGTACAGTAGATGTTGGGATTCATGTGTCATAAATGTGCCCAAATTAGATAGATATTAGGCTGATAAGTTGTTTGTAGAGGGCCTAATCCAGGTGTGAGAGATATAAATAGTAACCTGAATTCAAAGAGGTGTTCTCCTATGTACAATACATTGATTATAAAGACTTAATGAAAGTCTATTCTGTTTTTAATAATTTTCCTTATTATTATGAATAATATGTCATTCTTCCAACTTCAAGGTATTTCACTGTTCACAAGATGGTATGTTGAAATAAATATTTTAAGAATATTAATAGTGGCTATATCAGGGATAAAAAAACTAAGAGTAATGAAAAACGGAATGTGTCTCTACCAACTAGATTTGCATTTTTAATTTCAGACATTAAAGAGAGGTTAAAAACTGCAGACACTGGTTATCAACTGACAGGTTCTTATAGATACCTATTTGTATTTGAAATATAACTCCAAAACACAGGTATATTTTCAATATAAAATCAAATCAGTCTGAACAGTAGGAAGAAGTGCTGGAGATACCGGGGTTGACATCCCAGCTTCACCATTTTCTAACTGAGGAGTTGGAATAGACGTCTTAACCTTAACAGGTCTTACGTGAAGCTAATAGTGTCCACCCAACAAGGCTCTAGTAAGGAATATACTGTATAATTATTTTAAATTTCAGTTTCTGATTGTTCATTTCCAGGATATGTAGGAAAATATTTTTTGTCCATTGATCTTGTATTCTGGGACGTTGATTCACTCACTTAAGGAGTTTTAATAGCTCATTGTAGATTCCATAGCATTATCTGTGTACACAAATATGTTGTCTGTGAATAAAGGCAGTTTTCTTTTTAATTCCTTTCTAATCTCTAGTTCTTTATTTTTCGTTCTTTACTGCAATGGCTAGAACCTTCAGTATGATGTTGAATAGAAGCAGTGAAATGTTTAAGCTTTGATGTCTGAAAAGTCTTTATTTTGTCTTTGTTTTTGAAAGATAATTTCACCGGGTAACACACTATTGGTTGATGGTTGTTCTCTTTCAGTATTCTAAAGAAGGTGTTCCACTTGTATTGTTTCCAGTGAGAAATCTCTCATCCTTATCTTTGTTCCTTGGTATATATCTTTTTTCTCTGACTGGTGGTAGGATTTTCTCATTATCACTGGCTATAAGCAATTTTATTATAATGTGACTTGGTGTAATTCTTTTTTATGATTCTTGTGCTTAGGGTTTGTTGAAATTCTTTGATACATAGGTTTATAGTTTTAAAGGAATCTGAGATTGTTTCCCCCTTATTTATTTAATTTTTCTTCTTCCTCCTCCCCCGAGGTCTCCAATTACACATATATTCTGCTACTTGAATTTGTCCTATAGTTCACCAATGCTTTTTTTTCTTTTCTTTACTTTTAATTTTAGTCTATGTTTCATTTTGGAGAATTTCTATTACCCTGTCTTGAAGTTCAATAATCTTTTCTTCTGCAGTGTCTAATCTGCCATTACTCCAATTCAATGAATCTTCGTCTCACGCAAGATAGTCTTCCTCTCTGGAAGTTCAATTTGGGTTCTTTTGATGTCTTTCATTTCTCTAAATAACATGATGAACTTTTCCTCTACCTTTCTTAATATGTCTTTGATTGCTAATTCTATTATCTGTGCCATTTCTGGGTCTTTTTCTATTGATTAATTGTTTTTTTCTTCTCATTAACATTATTATTTTCCTCCGTTTCTTTGTATGCCTGGTCAATTCTTATTGAATGCCAGACATAAATTTTAACTTGTTGGGAGCTGGATTTTTGTTGTTGTTTTCTCTGAGTTTTTTTGTTTGTTTGTTTTGCAAAGTTTATATTAAAATTACTAGAAGCCATAAAAATTAAACTCTTACAAAGCAAGAATTTTTTGCCCCACACTATCCTACCAATTCACAGATCTTAGGTCCCAATTCATGAGCCAAATCCATAATAGCATAATAATAGAAGAGTCAGTTTTCTGCAGGGAGCTAGAATTTTTTTTTTTTTCTAAAAATATCTTTGAGCTTTGCTGTGGAATGAGGTTAAATTTCTCAGGAAGTGTTTCGGGTCTTGCTTTTGAACTTTCTTAGGTAGGATCAGAGCAGCATTTATTCTAGGAGTAATCTTTTTAGTACTCTAACTAATGTCCTATTAATAGGGAGGTTTTCCAGCCAGGCTTGTGAGAACAGGCACTATTCCTAGTCTGCAATGAGCACCAGATACTGTTGTCTCAATTCTTTTGGGTAGTTTTTTTGCTAGCCTTGGATTGTTTCCTTACACACATGCACTAAAATATTAATAATTGTGCCCTTAAATTTTCTGTTTCTTGTGTTAAGTGTCCCTTGTTCATTAATAAAATAATACGTGGAGCTGAGAGGATAATTTTCCTAGCCCATACTGGTTAGTTTCTTAAATATTTGCAGGGATATTAATTCTGCAGGGATAATTATTTGTCATACTCCTGTGTTACAAATGACTAGCCACGTGCAAGGAGCCAGCCTGTGTCTGGTTACCCTGCCACGGCCACTGAGTAGCATCTCTAGGCCTCCCTGGGCAGCTGGTGGGGATACACTTGCCTCTCCTGCCTTAGCTGCCTCTGTTGGAAAATGCCACTTCTCAGGGCTTTTACTCTCTAATTTTATGTGTGAGCCTACAGTCTCTTTCTCTGTAAACACAAAGAAACCAATTCCCAATTAAACTGCATTTCTGTACATTTACAGTTACCACTGATTGCTTCTCCTGTTGTGCTTGTATTGTTTCAAATGTGGTTAAAATCGTTTAGCTGTGATTACAATGGTTTAAATGTGATTAGAAGCTGATAAATTCTTCGCTGAGCAAAAATGATTGTGTTAAAAACAAATATTGTCAATTAGAAATGCATTGGGAAATGCAAGTGATAGCAATTTTATAGGTCTTCAAATCTATGATGCTGTGTACATTTTTTTTTTCAGTATTAATTTTTAAGGTTTGGACTTTGCAGGTGTCAGACACATAGCCACCAAGCACAAAAGGATTGCAATTAACTTAAAGTATTTTTAAAAGGAGATTGAAAGCAACTCATGCAATGTGTAGCTTTTTGTACACCCTGCGTTAGCAGGTGAGCTCTCTGATGAGCTAAGGAAGGTTCTGTGAATTCAGAAACGGAGCACAGTTACACGAAGAGCTTTGGTCAGGAAGACCTAGGGATAAAACTCCAACTCTGCCAATTTCTACTTGTGTGACCTTGGCTGAGCTTGTTAGCCCACAGAACCTCCATTTTTCCTCTTAAAGTGAGCATCATACCTCCTACCTCATAGCGTTGGTATGAGGCGCGAGTGAAATATTGAAGGAAGGTGCAGGAAAATGCCAAATACAGGGTCGGGGCCTCGCTGCCTTGTCTCCTTTAAGTGTGTGGTGTTACTTCCCTAGTGAAAAACTTTCACCCAAGAAAAATAATCCATCTTAAACATACCAAGGAAATGGTAATCATCCCAGGGAGAAATTTTTACTGTTATTATGGTTAATTTAGATTAAGAAGACTTCACAGGGTGAGTTTGGATCAGAGTGGGGTGCGTGCGCGTGTGTGTGTGTGTGTGTGTGTGTGTGTGTGTGTGTTCTATTTGAAGGCAGTTCAAAGTAAGTCACTGATGTTCTTTTATGTCCTTATTTAAAAAAATAACAATAAGCTTGCTTTTTTTTTTTAATTAGGGGGAGTTCGTTGCTTGTCTCCTGTCCCTGTTACGACAAATGACAGATAGACATTATCAACAGCTTCTTGATAGCTTCAATACAAAAGAAGACCTACGGGTAAGTGACATTAAAACATATCTTTTTAGCTTCTCTTGTTGTTATTCATCATTGTTCAGAACATTGCTTTACCTGTTTTCACTAAATTCTAAGCAGTTTTTTCTCAGCTTCATCCACACATCTGCTCGTCTGTACCGGCTCTTTAAGACTTCTATACTCAAGCAAAGTAATGAACTCTTACTTTGGACAAGAACATAGGGTTTAAAACACCTATCATCAAAGTGCAATAAACCAGAAATGATAATAGAACTAACGAGACCAAAGCAAATAGGCTAACTCTGGCTCTGTGCACTTGGGAATATTGCCTTAATGGAAGGTAAGGGAGCAGATAGAAATATATTAGCTGATCTCATCCCTGTAAAGCCACACTGAGAAATTCTGGCTACAGCATTCTGACTAGGGAGGCAGGGTTGTAATCGACATTCTCTATCAGCTCTAGTCTAATCAGTACGCTGTGCTAGTCCGACATGCTGGCATTAAATAAAAAATATTGATGCCGGGTTTATAACTATCCAATCTTTGCTGAGATTTTGGGAACTTGAATGCTTCCTTCGTGGTATTCACTAAAAGCTTAGAAGTTGACTGTCCTCAGTCGGAGAAAGGACCTGTCATCTGTTCCTTCTTTATTTTTATTTCTCTTCTGTCTCTTTGGTTTTCCAGACACCTTTATACCTAAACCATCATAGTGGAAGGGTCACTGAATCGCTGGGGGTGAAGTATAGGACAGTGGGTACAGACAGACGGTAACGTTGCATGATCGGAAGACTTCGCAGGGCTTTCTGGGAGATTTGTAGGATTTTTTTTTAAATATAGACAGTGCATAAAGGTCACTTATCTGTGCCTTTTAACTGCCTGGAGGGTGTTGTATGACCTCAGAAGATCTTTCAGTTACCTTGGGGCAGTTGACAAGCCGAGCTACAGGAAGTACAGAATAGGTTTGGGCAGGTGTCACCTACCTGGCAATCCACTGATTGACATATGCCCAAGCCTGAAAATGCCACGCTTTTCATGCTTACATTCATTCTTGAATTTAGATTTTAAAATGGATAGAAAAGAATGAGAACTTACCCATTCTACATACGAAAATGTATGTGGTTAAATAGGAAGATATTATAATTGTACAGTTATTTACTTTCATCAGACTTTGGATATTTACCGCAGTTGGGGAGCCGTTAGATTTTGCTTGAGTCTGTGACTTCCTGTTTCAAAACTTCATTTAGGAGAAGAGTCCCTATTTTCACAGAGCCTGGGAATAAAGAAATAACACCAAAGCACAGATTGAGAAACATGATTAATTGAATGTAGCTGTTGCATCTTGTGCTTTAATAGTCACATGAACAAAGCAAATGGGAGTGATGAATAAAGGGGTTTATGTGGGCTTGCCTCGTTCCAGGCAGCTGCACAGCTTCTCAAAGGACAGACATTTCCTTCTTCAACATTAACTGGTCCTCAGGCCAGGAAAATTATTTCATGATATCAGCTACGTCACCTGTCCTTCAGGGAGCATAGATGGAGCCATTCAGGCACACCTGACACTACCGGTGCTGTTATATAAGCTGGGACAGAAAGCCCAGTCCCTGTAGGACAGGACGTCACACAGGTTACGGGTATTAGCTCCATGAGTGGCCACTGCACAGGGTCAGCACCCTGAGCTGGGGAGCATCTGGGACTTGATGTCAACTGTCAATCCAAACTCAAGGTGAGAGGAAAAGTCCCCGCGGGAGGTCTCAGCTGAGAGCTGAGAGCGGAGTGTGAACGTAATGGACATATTGGGCTGAGACATTCAGACCTGTCCACTAAAATGTCACCCGGATACCCTAATGACATAGCACACCCGCCACTCTACCTGTATAACAGTTATTAGAAGTTGGAATGTTTTAGTTTATTTGTTTATGTGTATCCCCAGCCCCTGGCCACTAGGTCATAAGCTCTTTGATGTCTGAAATGTTGGCTGGTTCACTGTTGTCCCTTCAGATCCAGAGCATGTCAAACCCATGGCAGACATTTGAGAAACACTCGTTGACTGAGAGTGTGGAGGGTGAGGAAGCGAGTGGTAAGGCGTAAGCCTCTGTGAGTGTGCACCAGCTTTGCGTGGGGGACACTGGGAAGCGAGGGTTTTGAGAAGGGAGAGAGATGAGTATATTTGAGCTAAGAAAGCCCTGTCTGGATACACTATTGCAGATGGATTAGCTAAGGTCAAGACGGGAGAGAGAACCCTTTAAAAGAATAGGATGCAGTCATCTAAGCTACAGATAACTGTGGCCTGAAACAGATGACCATGATGATAAATTGTAAGGATGTTTAGGAGGTTGAGTGGGTAGGACCTGAGGACTGATTGTATGAAAAGGTGAAGGAGAGAGATTCGTTGGAGAGGACTCCCAGGTCCTCTGACCTGGCTGGATGTTGGTACCGGTCAGTGCCTGAGGAACCCAGGGGATGTAGGTGTACAGGTGTGGGAGCAAAGATAAACATGGTTTCAGCCTGAGTTTGGTCATCTGAGGGACCTCCAAGTAGAGATGTCTTAGAGACGGTGTCTGCAGTTCAGGAGAGAGAGCTGGACCACAGATGTAGATTCAGAAACTGTCAGCCAGTGAATAATAACTGACATCAGGGGGATAAATGAACATCGAAGAAGAGAGTGGAGTACGAAGCTGAGGGACCTCAGTAGAATCCTAAGCATGAAGGAGCAAGACGGGGTGAACAGTGCCTGCTGTGGTAAGGCGGCCACGTGAGATCATAAAAGGGCTCATTAGCATTGTCGGTAAACTTGAGCAATTTCAGTGCAGTGGTGAGAGTGGAGGTCAAGCTGTCATGGATGGAGGAATGAGGGAAAAAAAAGATACAGTGGATACGTGTTTCGAGAAGAGGAGGAGTTGGCTACTGCAGGAGAACCTTGGATGTCAGAGGAATCGCTATGATGGAGGAGACTTACGCGTGTTTAAATATTAATGATCAGAGCTGGGAGAGGGGCGAGCTGAAGACATTCGGAAAATGAGAGGTGCTGACCCACAGGGTGAGGGCCCTGAGGAGGCGGCAGGCGGGGCCAGAATCAGCCGGGATGGGAGGGAGGTCAGCTTCCCGAGTGAGAATGGGAGCAGAGGAGCTGGCGGGACGGCAGCCTCCCGGCCACTGACTNTGAGATCTGTAAACCTCACACAGGGGTGGCCTGTGCCCTCTGCTGCTGACCCTGACATTGTCTGCTTGACATCGGAGCCCCGAATCACCCACAGTCCTTTCCACTCTCAGGGTTGTCTGTCCTCCAGTGTCTGAGGCTTGTTTGCAGGTTTGTTGCTGTCTGTGACGATGGCAGTTCAGTTCCTGGTAGCTTTGACCCCACAGGCCCTACCCGACTCTGACTTCAGCTTTTCTGCAGTGCTGGCGGGTCTCTGCAGCTGGCCGCTCTGCTATGTGCAAAGCGGTGACCCCTGCCCACCCTCCTGAGGCTGCTCGGAGCAGCTGCTTGGGTGTCTCCCCCGATGTCCAGCCCACGCGGGGACCCAGTCTGTGGAGAGCAGCTGGCAGCCCTGCATGCCACCACAAGACTGACAGTCCTCGCTGCCTGAGGACAGATGCCTAGTTCAGGGGTCCTGGTCTAAAGCTTTGTGATAGAGGAAGCGAAGACGATGACTTTCCTCAAACTTAACCTCATGGAGAAACTCGTGCATTTCTAGCTGCTCTCCCCCTTCCCAGCCCCACACCCGCAGGGAGTTACTGATGGGAGCTGGCCTTACCCACCCAGGTGGGTACATCAAAACCGAATGTACGTGATCACTCCTTCATACACTCAGCGAGGCGCACGTGCAGGGAGCTGTGTCTGAGATGTGAGCACATGGACCCTTTCCAGCATGGATTCCATTGTTAAATGCTTGGAAAATCAGTGTTTGCACAACTGTGGGTTTCCTTTTTTTTTTTTGGAGTCTGCTTGATAAGTCCAGGTGTTTTCTTTTAAAGGTAAGAATTAGCATTTTAACCAGTCAGCGTGTTTGGCATTTACTCACTGATTCTATCACTTGCATTGGCCGTCTGTGCCCTGGGAGTGGAGAAAAAGGAAAATTTGCAGACGAGGTAGCCATATATTTCTCTTTTCATGCACTACACGTGAATTATTTGTCTGCCTCACTGTTTTGCTGTAGCGATTTTCTTAACAGCTGGCTGCAAATGGCATTCTGAGAAATCAGATCCCACTGGCTGCAGCACCATATCAGATAAGCTTTATCTTCCTTTCTAATTAAACATCGCTAGGCAGC